CCTTAGGTAGGTTTATTCCTGGCATTTTATTGTTTTTGTTGCTATGGTAAATAGGATTGTTTCCTTGATTGCTATTTCTGATCTTTCATTGTCAGAGTATAAGAATGCAAAGATCTGTGTATTAATTTTATTTCCTGCAACTTTATCAAATTAATTGATGAGATCTGATAGTTTTCTGGTAGCATTTTTAGCATTTTATATGCGTAGAATTATGTCATCTGCAAACAGTGACCATTTTGCTTCTTCTCCAATTTGGATTATTTAAAATTTCTTTTTCTTCTTTGATTGCCATGCCTAGAGCTTCCAAGCTATGTTGAATAATAGTGGTGAGAGTGGACATCCTTGTCTTGTTGTTGATCTTACAGAAAACACTTTCAGTTTTTCCCCATTTGGGCTGATGCTTGTTATGGGTCTGCCGTTTATGGCCTTTATTATATTTAGATAGGTTCGCACCATGTTAACCTTCTGAAGAGTTTTATTTTTATCATAAATGGGTGTGGAGAAGTGAAGTTGCTCAGTCGTGTGAGATTCTTTGTGATACCATGGACTGTAACCTACAAGGCTCCTCCATCCATGGAATTTTCCAGGCAAGAGTACTGGAGTGGGTTTTGCCATTTCCTTCTCTAGGAGATCTTCCCTACCCAGGGATCGAGCCCGGGTCTCCCACATTGCAGGCAGATGCTTTACCCTCTGAGCCACCAGGAAGCCCATGGGTATTGAATGGGTGTTGAATGTTGTCAAAAGCCTTTTGTGCATCTCTTCAGATGATCATAAGATTTTTATTCTTCAATTTGTTGTTGTGTGTCACCCTGACTGATTTACAGACACTGAGAAATCCTTGACTCTTTAGGATAAATCCCAGTGACCATGATGTATGATACGTCTAATGTGTTGTCGGATTCCTTTTACTAGTATTTTGTTAAAGATTTTCTGTGTCTATGTTCATCAGCGATGCTGGCCTGTAATTTTCTGTTTTTTGATATCATTACCTGATTTTGTTTTCAAGATGGCATCTTGACAAGTTTAAAGTGATATCCTCTTATGGTTTTGATTTTCATTTTCCTGAGAGTTACTGACATCCATCATTTTCCAAATGCTTACCAACCATTTGTTTTTCTTCTTTAAAGACATGTCTATTTAAATTCTCAAGCCAACTTGTTTTTAATCAGTAATTATTCCAGCTACCACTACTATTTCTTAGGAGTTCCTTATATTTTAAAGATATTAGCCCCTTATTAGACAAAAGGTTTACAAATTGTTTCTGCTATTTCGTAGTTTGCGTATTTACTCTATATTTTGTGTTCATGGCTGTGCAGCACTTTTTAGTCTCAGGTCTGTATTTCTCCTGTTTTTGCCTACACATTTCTCCTCATCTCCATAATATCACTGAAAACCCAGCATCTTGAAACTTCCCATATATTTGACTAAGAGTTTTATAGATCCAGGTGTTACATTTGTATCTTTAATCCTTTTTGAGTTGATCTTTCTATACCATGTTAAGGGTCAGATTTAACTACTTTGGATGTGGCTATCCAATTTTCTCTGCACCATTTGTTGAAGAGATTTTGCTTGTTTGTTCAGTCACTCAGCCAAGTCTAACTCTTCAAAGACGACTAGCAGTCCTTGCCGGTGTAACTTAGGTGTGAAATAGACATAAAAGGCGGGCCTCCCTGGGGTCTCAGTGGTGTAGAGAATCTGCTCGCAAATGCAGGGGATGCTGGTTCAATCACTAGATTGGGAAGATCCCTAGAGAAGGAAATGACAACCCACTCCGGTATTCTTGCCTGGGAAATTTCATGGAGAGAAGAGCCTGGTGGGCTACAGTCCATGGGGTGGCAAAGAGTTGGACACGACTTAGTGATAAAACAACAACAGCAGCAAGACAATAAAAGGCATCCAAACCATAAAAGAAGAAATACAATTTTCTTTGTTTGCAAACAAAGTCATCTTCATAAAAGAAACAAAGGATTCCTAATAAAAACTTTTAGGACTAGCAAATGCAATAAGTTATAGGATACACACACTACTTACACGTGTCCCTATACACTCACTACAGTGTATCTTGAATTTGTGACCAGGAAACAACCTCATTTTCTGTAGACGACAGACAGCATTTATGAGGCTGTCTTAGGGAAACTAGGAGACAGCAGAGAGTGGGCAGAGTCAGGACTCTGTCACCTGGCTCCCATTATCCATGCGGACGCTCGTGTTGAGGAAGAGAGACATGTCATAGCTCACAGCCCAGGACTGCTTTCAGAGACCACCCAGATGTGACCAGCAGGGCTGGGACAGGTTCCATTTCTGGACATGTGCTCCTGCCTGCCTCTTGGGGAAACAGGAGTCCAGTCTTCAGGTGGACTCCCTCCTCATCCATGAGAACGAGGGACTAACACAGAAGGGCAATCGCTGAAACTAGTGTCCACCCGAGTGGATGAGGACCAAGAGGAGATTGTGCTGTAAGGAGGACAGAGATCCTGGGGGCTAATCATAACCGCATGGGATCATTCTCCTGTGCTGATCTGGGGAAGGGCCCATGAGGGGACAGTGTACACATCTCAGGTCAGAGGGGGTATTCTATTTGTGACAAGGAGTACATCGAATGAAGGGGCTGGATGTAGGAGAGTCCCATCTGCAAACAGAATGTTCTCACATCAGTGCCTGCAGAAAGTGTACACCAGAGCAGAAAAGTCACAGCAGGAAATGTCCCTGAGAACAGCTGGGAGATGGGAGAGGAAGGAAACCCTTGTCTCCAAGGGAAGCCCCTTCCCAGCCCCTCTGCACCTGTCGCTGGTATAAGCTTCTGTACAGGCAGGCCCCGAGTGCCCCCTGCAGCCCCTCCTGTCTCCCTACAGGAGGTTTTGTCTGGGCTCACACTAACTGCCCCTCACTGTGTCTCTTGCACAGTAATACATGGATATGTCCTCAGCTCTCAGGCTGTTCATTTGCAGAGTCACCGTGCTCTTGGAGTTGTCTCTGGAGATGGTGAATCGGCCCTTCACAGAGTCTGCAGAGTATGCGCTACCACCACCGGTATTAATATATAAGACCCAGTCCAGTCCCTTCCCTGGAGCCTGGCGGACCCAGTGCATGCCATAGCTACTGAAGGTGAATCCAGAGGCTACACAGGAGAGTCTCAGAGACACCCCCCCCCACCCGCCAGGGCTGCACCAAGCCTCCCCCAGACTCCACCAGCTGCACCTCACACAGGACACCTGCAGGTGTCTACAGCATTTGTTGATAGCATTTGGGAAACTTAGTTTTTATTATGTGAAGTTTTCCAGGTGAACATGTGGCAACCATTTATTTCTATACAAGCAGTGTGCATGGGAATTATATTCAGAAGTCTCTAACATTTTACTTTCTATCAGTGAAAGCATTCAGGTAAGTATCTTTATTATCATGTGATTTGGCATGATAAATGTATATTATCTATTGTGCTTTTGTATTTTTACATAAGTGACATAATTTATGAAATGAGGTATCAATTTACCTGTACGATGCACACTTAAACCACTAAGACATGTAGGTAGACCATATGATGAAAGAAACTGGACCAGCATCAGCCTACCTGTGCTAGACATGTCCAGATGGTGTGAGAATTGGGAGGAAGGTTAAACTAGAGGTATTAGATCCATGGAAAACCCAGGGTGCTGACCCTGAGAGGTGAACGAGCAGGGGCCCTGAATGAGAGGTGGCCCCACCCTTGCTGGGTCATCGCTTCACACTGCTTCTTCATTACCCTGGTGCTTGTCCCTGAAATACTACGATTTTCCTGGAGAGAAAAGGTAAGGGCCAAGGGTGGAGGTGTGACCAGGACCTTGGAGCAATAAATGCAGAGCAGTAAAAACACTGTGCCGTTCTTAACCCTCACATGAGACTAACCTCCACTCACCTGCCAGTAAATGCTTTAGTGTAATTAATTTGTGCAGTGCATTCATTAATATTAATGTGGATGAAGCTGCCACCACCATTTCCCCTTCAATGTTGAGGATAATAATGTATCTAGACAGTAAAGTTTCAGTGCTTTACTGAGAGATCTTATTTCTGAATAATCCTGAAGGCTGATCTGGATAAACATACCATGTTCTAGAAGTTCTATTTTGTTGCAATATGTGGAAATTTTCTTCTGTTCTTTATGTCCCAAGCTTTCTTGTTGGAAGAAGCATCCATCTGGTAAGATTTAAGCCTTAAAGGGACAAGAGGTCACTAAAAATGAAAGAAACTTGCAGTTTGCCAAATACATATGTGACATTTAGTGCATCTGATATCAGAAAAGGGCTGTGTTTATATCAGATAGGCGTCATCTTGCCCAAAGTTTCCTAAATGCCAAAACTAAATGTATAAGTGCAAATTAGCAAGATGGTGAATTTGCAAATATGAAATCCATGAATAACAAGGATATTTTCCTATGGGACAATCTGGCATTAGAGTCTATAACACAATCTGTAGAATTCAGTGTTTCTGGAGATTGACTGAAAGCAGGAGGGTGTGTTTTTTCACTGAACATGTACAGAAACAACAAAAAAGTAATATTTAAAGATCTCCTGTGCCTTCTTGGGTCATTCACCAGTTTCGAGAATTTTGGACTCACATGAAAAATGATGGTGAGCCTCAGAGTTGTACTGAGCCTCTTTGAGAAGAACAAAAATAAAGCAGAAAAAACACACAGTTCCTGAGTATTAGATCACATGTGTGCGTTGGTACATATTCTGCAAAAACGTATATGTAGACACACACAACTATACTTAAAGGGAAAATACAAACTATGTATAGTTTTATGAAAGAAATATAAAACACAATAATGAAAAATTAAGGACACAAAAGAGGTTTTCCAGGGAAGCAATGGGGCAGGAAGAGAAAAATCACAGATTCGAAGTTTTCTCTCCCAGAACCCCAGGGCACCGGCTCCTGGGCGCAGTCCTGAACGTGGTGGGCCCCGCGCGCCCCCTGGTGGTACGGGGCGCCCATGCAGCGAGGTTTTTGTCCGGGCTCACTCTGACTTGCCCTCACTGTGTCTCTTGCACAGTAATACACGGCCGTGTCCTCAGGTGTCACGCTGCTCAGTGAGAGGGAGACTTGGCTCTTGGAGGTGTCCCTGGTGATGCTGAGCCGGGATTTCAGGGCTGGGTTATAGTATGTGCTTCCACCACTATATATGATACCAACCCACTCCAGCGCCTTCCCTGGAGCCTGGCGGACCCAGCCTACACCATAGCTGCTTAGTGAGAATCCAGAGACAGCGCAGGTGAGGGAGAGGGTCTGTGAGGGCTTCACCAGGCTGGGTCCCGACTCCTGCAGCTGCACCTGGGACAGGACGCCTGTGGACAGAGAGAAGCACGGTGACTCACGGGCTCAGATGCAGCTTCCCCACGTGCCCATGTCTGATCCAGAGACACTCACCGCTGGGAGCTGACAGCAGGAACAGGAAGGTCCACAGTGGGCTCATCTTCGAGCAGATGAGAGTCACCGCTCCCGGAAATCTCTTCAAGCCTGAGGAGCAGCCTGAATTTAAGTGACCTGGTGCTGTGTTTCCACCCTGTGACCTGAGCGGATCTTTGCATGTGGGAGGGGCCTCTGCATAAAAAGCAGAAGGTAGTGAAAGGAGGTTCAGTCTATGGACCTCGCCCCGTGAGGAGGACGCTGACTGTTCAATCAGAGAACTCAGCCCCTCCTGTGGTCCCCCTCCCCCTACCAGGAAGGCTGTTTATCGACGAATGGAATGATGAGGGAGGTCTGTTCAGGCAAAATGATGCTGTCAGGCAACAATGACAGATTTTGGGAAGAGACTTTAACCCCATGGAGGTGTTTACCTTCACTCAACAGAAGCCCTCCACACATTCGGGGACCACCCAGGTGTCAGACACAAACTCTTGTTTGTTTTCTTTTCTGATTAGCTTATGTTTACTTACTCCGTATTCAAACATAAGAGACAAAATATACAAGTAATAATCACATTGAATTCAAATGGAGTTGGGTCCAACTTAATGTTTATCGGAATTCCCAAAGCATTTATATTTCCCTTACCTTTTATGACTATTTTTTCATCTGGAACAGTTTAAATACCCTCAAGAATCAGTCTAGAGATGGTTTATTCACAGTAATTACACACAGCATTAATTCTGTGGACAAAGTAGACGTTTCTGCTGAGACGCTCGTCTTCCCAGCTTGGCTGACTTGCCCAGTGGGCTGTCCCACAGTATCCTGTCCGCAACTGAGTGTCTGCAGGAGCCTGTGAGCCTCAGGACCCCCAGCCTGAGTGTGGACACTGAGGGCCCCAAGGCTACTGCAGACTGAGGTCAGACAGCGCCCGGGAGCTCCTAGTGCTCTGACGTGCTGGGCAGGTGTCCTGGTCACTCTGCACAGACTCCCTCCTCCTCCAAGCGCTTATTTCTTCCTCTCTGTGTCCCGGCCGTGAGATGGGAGCTCAGGGGACATAGTCCCCACCACAGTGGTGAGAGGACACGCATGGTTCGTGGAGGTAAACCTTCACAGTGAACGGCGTGCAGTGTGAGGGCGGCAAGGTCAGAGGAAAGCCCCTCCTCAGGAAGCAGGTTCCCTTGAAAACCCCACTGAGAGCAGCTTTCCCGAGCCCAGGGGCTCCGTGTCCTGGACTGAGCCTGAGGTCCTCTGAGTCAGCAGTGCTGGAGAGCAGAGCACAGCTCCCCCGTCTCCCTGTGGCCCTGAGGCTGCGGCCTCGCGCCTGCATCCCGGCTGTGAGCATGGAGACTGGGGATGACGGCCGTCACCGTGCGTCTGGACTTTAGGTGGGCTTTCCGGGGGTGGTGAGTGCTGCCATCAGTGGTGTTATCTCTCCCGGAGGCAGAAAAGACCGGTGTGGGTCCCCATCGCTGACTGACACCCTGTCCATGTGACCCTGGCCCTCTCCTTCCTGAGATGTCAACACTGCAGCTTTGGGGCAGGTCAGCTCTCCCTCAGCCCAGGGATCTCAGCTGTGTTTCAGCTGAAGTGGAAACTGCTTTCTATGAAAAGCCCTTTCCTCCATCCCGTTACATGAGGAGAGTCCTAAACGGACCATATTGCTTCTGTCTTTTCCATAATATTGGTTGTTGTTGCTGTTCAGTCACTCAGTCATGTCTGACTCTTTGTGACCCCATGGACTGCAGTTCCCTGTCCTTCACCATCTCCCAGAGCTTGTTCAAACTGATGCCATCCAACCATCTCATTCTGTCATCTCCTTCTCCTTCGGCCTTCTATCTGTCCCAGCATCAGTGTCTTTTCCCATGAATTGGCTCTTCCCATCAAGTGGTCACAGTATTGGAACTTCAGCTTCAGCATCAGTCCTTCCAATGAATATTCAGACTGATCTCCTTTAGGATGGACTGGTTTGATCTCCTTGCAGTCTCAGGGACTTTCAAGAGTCCCACAGTTCAAAAGCATCAGTTCTTCAGCTCCCAGCCTTCTTTATGGTCCAACTCTCACATCCTTACATGACTAACGGACAAACCAAGACTTTGACTATATGGACTTTAGCTGACGAAGTCATGTCTCTGCTTTTTAATACACTGTCTAGGATTGTTAGAGCTTTTCTCCCAGCAGTAAGTGTCTTTTAGTTTCATGGCTTCAGTCATCATCCACAGTGATTCTGGACTCCAAGAAAATAAAGACTTTCACTGATTCCACTGTTTCCCTATATATATCATGAAGTCATGGGTCTTCATGCCATGATCTTAATAATTTGAAGGCTGAACTTTAAGCCAGCCTTTTCACTCTCCTCTTTCACCTTTATCAAGAGGCTCTTTAGTTCCTCTTCGGCTTCTGCCATAAGAGTGGTGTCATCTGCATATCTGAGGTTATTGATATTTCTACTGGAAATCTTGATTTCGCCGTGTGATTCCTACAGCTCAGCATTTGTGTGATGTACACTGCATGTAAGTTAAATAAACACGGTGATGATAGAGAGCCTTGATTCATTCCTTTCCTATTCTTGATCCAGTCTCTTCTTCCATGATCTGTTCTAACTATTGCTCTTGAAGTGCATACACTTTTTTCAGGAGGCAGGTAATGTGGTCTGGTATTGCCATCTCTTTAATAATTTTCCATGCTTTGTTGTGATCCACACAGTCAAAGGCTTTAGCATAGTCATGAAGCATTAGTAGATTTTTAAGAAATTCTTTTGCTCTTTCTATGATCCAAAGGTTGTCGGCAATCTGATCTCTGGTTCCATTACCTTTTCTAAATCCAGATTATACATCTAGAACTTCTCAGTTCATGTGCTGTTGAAGCCTAGCTTGCAGGATTTTGATCATGGCCTTGCTAGCTTGTAATGTGAGTGCAGTTGTCCAGTGGTTTACCATTCTTTGGTGTTGCCCTTCTTCGGGGTTGGAATGAAAGCTGAACTTTTCCAGTCCTGTGGCCATTGCTGAGTTTTCCAAATTTGCTGGCATATTGAGTGCAGCACTTCCACCGCATCACCTTTTAGGATTTGAAATAGCCCAGTTGGAATACCATCACCTCCACTAGCTTTGTTCATAGTCATATGTCGTAAGGCCCAGTAGACTTCACAATCCAGGATATCTGACTCTAGTTGAGTGATCACACCATCCTGGTTATCAGTACCATGAAGATCTTCTTTGTATAGCTCTTCTGTGTATTCTTGCCACCTCTTCTTAATATCTTCTGCTTCTGTTAGGTCCCTACCATTTCTGTCCTTTATTGTGCCCATCTTTGCATGAAGTGTTGCCTTGGTATCTCTAATTTCCTTGAAGAGATCTCTAGTCTTTCGCATTCTGTTGTTTTTCTCTATTCTTTTGCATTGTTCACTTAAGAAGTCTTTCTTATCTCTTCTTCCTCTTCTTTGAAACTCTACTATCAGATGGGTATATCTTTCCTTTTCTCCTTGGCCTTTCACTTGTTTTCTTTTCTCAGCTATTTGTAAGGCCTCCTCAGACACAACTTCTATCTTTTCAATCATATGAGTGAGTAAATTAAATCAGAAAGAACCTGCCCTGCCTGTGTGTAGGTAATAAGACCTTCAACCAAAGCAGGAAGAGCAAGAATCACAGGACACATCTAGACTCGCTGGTCTGGACCTGCAAAGTGAGCTGATGCTGTGGGGCAGGGGAGGGAAGGTGTGGCATCCAACACCTGGAGCAGGTGAGACTGTTGCTATTCACCAAGGGGCATCAGGGCCTGTGTTTGCAGAGATGCCCCCGCATCTGACCTGGACACCATGAGCTGGTGGAGTTAGGAGACACATATAAGTTCATGTTCCCACAGAAGGAAATGTAACAGGTCCTAGGTTCATGGACCTTTTCTGTGCATAGATGTGCTGTGTCCGAACAAGGGTCTGTGAGTTTATTTTGTGAGTTCAGTCTGTGAGTTCAATGTGTGAAGATGTGTCCTCACACCACAATATTTTAATCTGAAATGTTATTTCATTTAATTACAAGGAAGTCTGTGGAAAATATTTATATTTAAAATTAAGTATGTCAAAATATTGTTGCACACTTTTGCACAAGAGCTCATACAAAGAAATAATAAGACATTGATAAATGTGCTCAGTCATGGCTGACTCCTTGAGATCCCTGGGCTCCATCACGCCAAGCTCCACCATGCACCAGTATCTCCAGTGTTGCTATCAAACCGCAACATCCTCTGTCTTCCCCTTCTCATTTTGCCTGAAATCTTTCTGAGCATTAGAGTCTTTTTCAATGGCTCAGCTCTTTGCATCAGGTGGCCAATGTATGAGAGCTTCAGCGTCAGCATCAGTCCTTCCAATAAATATTACGGTTGATTTTCTTTTGAATTGACTGGTTTGATCACCTTGCAGTCCAAGGGAAACTGAAGACTCTTCTCCAGCGTCATGTTTCATATACATCAGTTTTTCAGCTCTGTACTTCAATAGAGCCATTTAAACTGAAGGTTCTCCTAGATATGGTGGACTCTCTTCATTGTAGGAGCACACAGCAGATCCAAGACCTTCAAAACAAGCCATGATCTTGCACAGTGAACATCTTCCACCCAAGTTTTTGGGCTAAATCTCCCTCTAATCCCATCATGAATTTAATCTTATCATTGCTTGCTTACAGGTCAGCAGTCCTCTTGTTTTCTAAGAACTTGCGTTATCCCACCTTTAGTGATCATTACCTCTTTCTTACATCCTTTCTTATAGTGGCTAAGAAGAAAATGTCAGACTCTGTGTTTTGATGACTATTGACCCCCTAAGGCTTCTTCCTGCTTTTCTCCTCTGCCCACACACTGGAGATTCAATAAGAAACATGTTTTCCCTCTTTTGATGCAGGTGTGAGGCTGAACCCACAGGAGCCTCTCCTGTGAGCAGGACCCTCATCACTTCAAC